GCAGTTACTGAGGTGCCTAAAATCCACTTAAAAATCTGGGCAAAGATGACTTGGACAAGTTTTCACAACTGAGTCACTGATAAGGCTGGAAAACCAGTGATGGACACAACTTAAACCTCCGGATCTCTGTATTTGTAATTAATATGGTTTCTGCTTCAGTTCACAGCGTGCATTTTCCCCCTAGTTTGTGCATTTGCTTTGCTGCACACAGGAACAATGTCAAGGGAATAATTACAGGATCTTTTCAATGCTTTCCTCATAGCTTCAGAGAACACCTAGTGACAACCTGAAATCTTACTCGGGAGATGCTGAATATCCAGCTGCTTCCTTCGGCTCCATTTTACCCTTTCTGAAAGCTTTGTCCTAAGTAAATTTACACACCACTGACAGTCTGTGTTTCACTTGAGCAATTCGTGCTTATTACACTATCCCAGGCAATTCCATGCTATGGAGTTGTTTGGGAACACCTTCCAGGAAAACTGCCCTCCTATCACTCCTGGCAGTAAGTAGGTTTCTTGTTGAAAGAATTTAGTGTATCTTTTCTGTATCATTTCTTATTTATGTTTCTTATTTCCACGACAGTCACATGGCTGGTACACATGCCTTCAGAGTGAGGTGAACCCAAGGGGAATTACAGCCTTCCAAAATCCCTGTTCCGCAGTAGGTTTTTTGTTCTAGCAGCAGCTAGTTCAACTTTACAACATCTCCTGAGGGCTTTGGGCTACCTACAATGTCTTTGTGAGAACTCATCTGGAATCAACATAACCAAAACAAAAGTCCTCACTGTGCTGGTATTACATCCATCTTCAAAAGCCCACAAAGCTTTTTGATGAGCATGTGACTGGCAACTGTTGTATACAGTCACAATTACATGGTCCAACAGTCTGCCTAATTACAGTCCTATGAGTCCATAGAGTTATGGAATCATAGAATCCCAGACTTGTTTGGGTTGGAAGGGACCTTAAAGCTCCTCCAGCTCCAACCCCTGCCACGGACAGGGACACCTTCCACTAGAGCAGGTTGCTCCAAGCCCCTGTGTCCAACCTGACCTTGAACACTGCCAGGGATGGGGCAGCCACAGCTTCTCTGGGCACCCTGTGCCACCACTTCACCGCCTTCTTTCAGTTTAGAGTCAAGATGTCATATGGGGCAGTGTCAAACATATTCATATGTTACGAGTTGCTCCCACTGATTTCACTAGGATTCCTCAAAATAGGTAAATTTAACAAAATGGACAATATTTGTGGGATTGGAACCTATTTGTGGGAACTGTAATAGACCTGATCCAAAATAAATTGCTTCAAGATAACAAGTTTCCACTGCTATAACTAACAGCTTTTGGTGGCTTCATGTGACACCAGTTTCTGCAGAGAGTCTTCTCAGACTGGTGATGTAAAAGCTGTTATTTCTGATAACATTAAAGTTGGAGCATTCACATCTTGTGCTGTTGATGTCACTGCACATTACAGGGTGATGATCCAGAGGATACACCCTGGAACTTCACATGCTAAGATGGAGAAAATCGATCTCTGCTAATAAGAAAAGGCAGGCTCAGTGGTGCAGAAAATCACTACTCTGGAGTCTTAAAGAGGCTGCTTGAAAAAAATCCTGACTATGGAATGAATCCTGGGCTACATTATAGTCCGGAAAGAAATCAGGATATGGAGGGGAAAAAATCCCATTTTCATTAAGAGGAGAAAATGAAGAATAAATCCCATATGCAGACATAGTCATTGATCCCATGGAACACAATTATATGCTCAATATATAAGAACATTTCCCAGGTTTCCCAAGTACCCAATACTTTACCTGAATACTTTTCAAGTTACTTTTTCTTGTTGTTTCTTCATTCCCGTAGCACTAAAACCATCTGGATAAAGTTTATCACTGTTCCCATCCACTGCTGTAGGGTAACTGTAGGACATCCAGCCTATGTTGACAACCTCAGTATTTCCCTAATGACTTAAACTTACTACTCCATAAAGTATGTAGCGATATCCCCTGCACACAATTAGAGCAGGAAGAATTCCAGATTCACTTCCCAGTGTTGTGCCTTTCAGACTCCTCATACCTGTAACACAGGGTTTGTATGGAAGAGACTAGATTAGTTTAGATATAACCCAGTCATATTAGAATGCAATCACTCTAAAGTGTATGCCTAAGGCTTTTTTGCCATTGTATCATACACCAAATTGTTCTTTTCAAATTGTTTTCCACACATTTAATGCAGCTGCAGGTATTCCATGCAGGAATATTTCAGCACTTCAGCTGATCAGCTCAAAACATGACAGTTCTTCTTCCTTATTTGAGCATGGCTGAGTCATGACTACAGCAAACCCAGCACTTAGTTTGGCTTTTATTATTCATCCATTCATTCATCCGTTCATTGTCAGGGTGCCTGTGTGAGGGGCTTGGGTGAGTGCGATTTACTGTTGTGTAGGTGCCATCATCCCTGCCTTCTGCGATTGAAATACTATTATTTATTTCACATAAATATCTATTTTTCATCTGCTTTGTGTAACAGTGTATTCATACCATTGGACTTCTCAGAACTCATTCTAATTAGTTTCATTGCAAAGATAGACAAAGAAGACACCTGAAAGAGAAAAAAAATGACCTTAGAATTCAACACTTTTATTCATGTTTATAAATTTTCAATAGGATTGACTAGATGAGCTGGAAAAGATCAGTTTTAATTGGGGTTACTCAGCCCTCTCCCAGCTCTAACTTGCCTTTCCTCAGGACCGCTCTGCACCGCATTTTGAACTGATGTGCTGATACAAGTCCTGTCCGTACCTGGCTGTGTTGGCACATGGATTTGCCAAGCTCAGGAAAGTACATTTTAGTCTTAATGCCCCCAAATCAGGAGCATATTTTCTAGTATTCCTCATTCAGAGCTCCCCTGTGCAATTCTCCTCCTCGACTCTCTTCTATGTACGAAAGACACGCATTGGACTAAACTAAAGGCTGGGGATTGGAACTAGATGAGCTTCAAGGTATCTTCCAGCACAAACCATTCCGTTACAGCTTAATCACAGGATGCTTCAGGGAGAGGATTGCTGACTATGATGCTCATGGGGCATGGCTGTCAGGCTGGTGTCTGGCTGTACATGGGCTCAACTGCAAACTCACTTAACGGTACAGCACTTCCACCATGGCCTCTTATCACAAGCCTCACAGCTAACGGACAAAATCGGGGTGGAGGAGTCTTCTAGTGTCTGTCTTTCTGTCTCCCCACTGTTTCTGTCCCTATTTAAAGAGACTCAATGGCTCCTGCTGCTCATACTTGGTTAACTTGCATCCTAGGAGAGCCAGAGTAAATATTGTGGGTCTGTTGGCAATCTGACCCTCTGCCGCTGTGCAAAGCAAGCCTTTTGTGCCCACAACAGCTCCAAATTACTGTACCTAAACCATAATCTTCCAGTGGGAGCACTGTAGTTTTCCATTTTGCTGCTAATTGAATGCTGCACTTGGAATAGTCTTTGTTAGCATGGCTGGTGCTGGGCAGGGAACAGCGATGGAAGGCTTTTATTTAGAACTCATGCAAAAATGCAGTGCCTGTCCCTGTTTGACAGCAATTGAAACCAATTGTCAATTAACTAAATAACAGCCAATTAGCTTGAAGAACTAAAGAAGAGAATTGCTTACTTCACATTCTTTGTTGAAGCAAAAGCCACTCAGAGGATGGGAGGTTTTTGCTTTCTCCCTATCAGAAGACAAAATGGCAAAAGATGTGCAGAAGAGGCACAGTTGTGGGTTGGGGTTTTTTTGAATACCATCTATTTCTCACACAAAAAATATTTGAGAAAGTAGATAAGAACATCTTTCTTAAGCTCCTGAGACATTTAATTTTCTTTGAGTTTTTTCAATTCAAAATGACAATCATTATGCAAGCACATTTTTTCCTCTTTTCTTTCGTACCGCTGTAGGATACTTCAAGCACAAGGAAAGACCAGCCAACAGCTGGCTCCTGTGTAGTGCGGTGGCAGGCAGGATTGTGATATTATCACTGGCATCACCAGACCTTCCTCTTTCATGTTTTATGGACTTTTAGGGGTCCATAGGTGAGCTGTTGTCAGAACTTCTAATGTTAAAAACCCCGAAGCACCCAGAGGCCTTAGGAAGCAGCTGAGTGCTGCTGCTTTTAGGGCTGCTGTTTTGGTCTTAGATGCCTCCCAAAACCCATATTTCATTTCTGTACCCTTCTTTGAACCTGGGCAATAGTACCAAAAGGTACTATCAATGAAATTGATTCATTGCACAGGGAAAGCTGGTCACACCACTGGCAGGAAGAAAAAGGCTCTCTCCTGGTTTATTGCTCTTTATTTTAACTATTATCTATCTCAATAGCATCATCTCCTCAAAAGCAGCAGTGCAATTCAACATGAAGACTTAAGCTTGCTGCTATAGGCAGAGCAACAGCAGAGGCTGATGTCTGCAGTGGGTCTCTGACAGCTGAGCTTTCAGTGGATGATATGCTGGGCAGACAAAGAACATGCATAGGTTAGACCAACGAGGCAGCTGCTACAAGCTAATTTACTACTGCTGGGTTGGTGAGAGACGACCATTTACTCATGGCATCTTGGCTTTCAATTCCTATTGCACTTTCCTTGGAAGCAGCTAAGGCCAGCACAAGTGGCCTCACTTCTCACCCATGGGGCTGGACCACAGCTGGTCCTTTGGGGTTGACATCAGGGCTGTGTCTGCCTAACATCTATTAGTAGCATCAGCCAATAATTCTTCACTTGGTCTTTTTACTCATTGTTCAAAAAGACTTTTTTTATGCTACTTTGAGCTGCTCACAGCCCCATTTCACGGGCTTCAAATTGTGTTACTCTTTGTTAATACTTTTAGGCCTGTGTTCCATAATTGGATAGTGGAGGATGAGAGGTATGTCTTTTAACTGTTGGGAAAGCAATGAATATCGGATGCTTTTTCATTAACTAACAAACAAACATGAGCTCCAGCACTGCACATATTGATCTGTTACTTTCTTACAGGAACATTTTACACCTGAATGCAAGTTCAAAGAATCAGTATTTGAAAACTACTATGTGACGTACTCTTCAATGATCTACAGACAACAACAGTCTGGCAGGGGTTGGTATTTGGGTCTTAACAAAGAAGGTGAAATCATGAAAGGAAACCATGTGAAGAAAAATAAACCTGCAGCACACTTTCTTCCAAAACCATTAAAAGGTAATTGCTTAGGTTTTCCCCATCTATATAAAGTGCTGTTATCTTGTGTCAGAGATGTTTAATTGCAGGGCAGACACATTTGAAGGGTTCAGGTAATTACATACATACTTATAATGTTCTGTAACACACCATGAATCTAACCAGTGCCTCTTTTTTTGTTGTTTCTCTTATCTAACCAAATACACATATAGTAGTTTCTTCGTATCTGAAGTCCACACTGTCTCCATTATAAGATAATGAAGGATCTGCCCAGAATGACCCAAACATCTGTCTACAGGCCATTAGTGACTTGCTGTGTAGCCTGTCAACCTGTGCTTTATGTTACAGGATGTTTGTCTGTGTTTGCTTGGTTTAATGCTCTAATGTGCCATGCTTATTAAACACCAATTAATGTGGCATCAGCATGTGACATTAAAGGTAATAATGCACGTGGCATATGTATATCTCTGTGTATTAAAAGCTAGGACATACAGTCATCCCAGTTAACTGAAGGGTCTGAATCAGGACTGTGGTCAGACTTGGCTCTCTCTTTGGTCAGTGCAAAGAGGGAGCTCTCAGGCAATATATGGAGGTGTTCCTTTTCTCCAGAACAACTAGTTTCCACATGTTCCTTCCTTAAAGAGGAATGGACACTTCTACTGCTGGGTCATGCCCTTAGGTAGCCTTTTACAGCAGTGCCATTTTGAAATCAGAGAGGCTATTTCAAAAGTGCACAGCCCTGGGTGGATGCTGAACTAGTTTGGTAGTCTACATTTAGGACTATGTGTTAGGCAATGGATGTCAGTGTTGATCCTCATCTCTGATGTGTGTGAAAACAGGAAACGGAAGACTGATAATCCATTTTTACACCCACCTCCTTAGGCCACATGTACAGATAACAGGTCAAATCACAGCTGCTGACAGTGCTACTTCACCATTAATAAGGAAATGTTGATTTATATCAGCTTAGGTCTATCTTGCAGAGCTTTGTATGCGCAGTGGATAGGTGGGCGATTTAACTGGGAAAGGGTGGGAGCTGTGTTTTTTATCCCTTCTCTAAAATGTCACTCCCTTGAAGAGGACCTCAAAGGCTCTTAGGGAGTGTTTGAAATGAAATGGAAGAGGAATCTTTGCCATGTTTCTTTTATTCATTCTTTACATTGCACACTAGTGAATGAAAAATCCCAGTGTTTCACAGCTGGACTTTGCACCAACACTGAGTAGCCCGTACCGTGTGCTGACGTGCTGCCTCTCTTTTGCTTTGCAGTGGCCATGTACAAAGAGCCTTCTCTCCACGATCTCACAGAGTTCTCAAGATCTGGAAGTGGAACCCCAACAAAGAGCAGAAGTGTTTCAGGAGTGCTAAATGGGGGTAAATCCATGAGCCAAAACGAGTCAACGTAGCCAGGTTCAGGCAAGCCAAGTGCTCTCTAAACAGAACCTTACCTCTGGATGCAGTTGAATTCTTACTAGCAGTCTTTCATCCAAACATTCAATTGCCCAGGACAAGCCACCGAACTTGCATAGGTCACTCGTTTATCAGCCATTAGATCTACTGGTTGTCAAAGGATATACCCCAATAATGTAGAACATGCTTGTGCATATCACAAGGCAGTTGGATAGCCAACAAACATAACTGCGGAATAAATCTCGGAGAAGAAATGTCCAGCTCTTTCTCTCTGTCTCTTTCTCTCTCTCTTTCTCTCTCTCTCCTATGCTTTGTGGAATACGAAACAAAAACATTTCACAGCGTTCACTGCTGATAAGAATTTGCTTTCCAACTCAGACAAAAAAAAAAGACCACTTTTGCTCTTCAAAGGAAATTTTAATGCTTGTATGTTTTATAGGGGCAAAGAAAAAAACCAAATCAGTAAACTCCGGTGTTTCCTTGGCTTACCGTTTTATATCTAAGGCTTGATAAAAACAAAAATGTATCCTTTTAATTTGGAATAGCGCAACTTTTTGATTTCTCAACTCCAATGGGTCTTTAAAGCTCTGTCTTTAAAACAACTAATACTAAATTCAGGGTTGGAACTGAGAGTTGGTGTCTCAGGCTCAAGCAAACAGTGTTCTTGTGGTTTTAAACACAATGAAATAATATGAATTTTTATAGATTTGTAGTTTCTGGTAAAGTTCTTGTGCTTAACCCCAGTCTGTAGGAATCGAGTTGTTTTGTTATCCCAAGTGGAAGTTAACAGAAAGGGATAAACTTATCCTCCAGTGTAGATTTCTCTTAATTCCATTTTGTGTGTCATGTTAAACTATTGTCGTGGCTTCTTTTCTAAAGACAGAAACTGTGGAATTAAGGTGACTTAATTTTTTTATAAAAAATGTCTTATTTGTAAAAGTCCTTCTTTCACTGTAATGGGCACGTGAATATTGTGTAGGAGGAAGCGTTAGGACAGGTTACCCCTAAACAACATATACTTATACATGCTATTGGAAACAATTGTTTAAAAAATGTAGTTAGGTTTCCATTTAGGTCATCATGTCTGTTGCATGGGAGAAAGTTGGAATATTGGCATAGAGTTGCATGATGTGTAAGATTTTGTGCATTAATTATCGTTGGATTCTGTGCTCCAAAACTGACATAGTTGTGTACAGGCAGCTTTCTGCCTTGTACAAAAAGAGTTGTTTATTATTTGTTGTATACACAACCATGCACTGAATAAAATATTTATATTAAGATGTACTTTTTAAAACAGCTTGTTTGATTATATGATGTACATCCATGATTAATTTCAAGGGAAAGGGTTGGCAGTTCAATTGGAAAGTTCTGAAAGATACTGTAGTTAACGTTCAAACTCTATGGAGTGGGTTATTCCCCTGTAATGCCATTCACTATACATGGTCTTTTGGATATTGGTAGTACTGGTCTAACATGCCCAGCTGAGATACTCAAAACATAGCAACAATCAAGTGCCACAAAGTCTTGGTAATGGCCTCTCTGCCATGTGCTGCTGGAGCCCCAGTGAATTGCGCTCCACTGCTTTGGGCTTCTCCAGCTCCTCCGTGTCTGCCCTCCCCATTAGACCTTCCTTAGTGCAGCCACATAGTGCTACCTCGCAGCACGCCTGGGGACAGGGGGACCCAAAGGGAAGTGATAAGTCAAGCAGTGCTTGTGCTGGGGTGGCACTTGGAGGACGCTCGGCCTTTGCTGGGCATCGCTGTAGGTACATTTTATGGCCCAGCTTTATCTGCTCTGGAGGAAAAAGGCACCCGTGTCTTCTGCCTTTATGCACATGCCCTGGAGAGAAAACATCCTTCTCTGCTGCCTTTGCTCTCCAAAACTATTAGAGAGATCTTTCCTCATCTACAGCATCCAGGCAGCTCTGACAGGTGAGCTTCACTCATCAAGGTGTTTCAAGAAGTCCTAGGAAGAACATTGTGGTGGCTGAAGAACCAGTTCTGAAAGGGAATAATGGAGACAAAAAGCTACCTATAAATGTTAGCCTGGAATTAAAATCAGGTATTGTGCTGGCTGCTCTGTGTGCCTCCCACTTGACCAAGCTGGAATTAGACCTCAGACCAGGCTGGGACAGTGTTGGGGTTTTTTTTTAAGGCTGGTGCTGAAAGATGAGAGAAGGAGACTATGTGTTAGATCAAAACCCCAGATTTGAGGGGGGTTTTGTGGCAAATAGTAGGCAAAGAGCTCTGGCTTGCTGAGCTCCCATATTGGAGCAGGGTGTTGTCCTCCCCATCTTGCTGTCCTTCAGAGGGTCTGGGGGTCTTCAGCTTGCCCCTTTCCAAAGGGTGAAGAAGGTGGGAGCACAACTAATGTCATAGAATTCCTTAAAAATTGAAATGGCCATGAATGCTCCAGAGGTTTTGATAACTCAGTGGATCTGGAGCATCTGTTCCCATCCACTAAGTGTGGTCTGACCTTCCTCTTAACCCTCCCGACCCCAAACATCAAACTTATTGGGGTGCATGTTCCAAAAAAGGAGCCCAAGTGCCTTAGGAACATAAAACCTGATTAAAAAATAGGCATATTTGTGGCAGAGCTACTTCTCTATCCTAAAGCTAACCAGAGGTTTGCTGCTTTTGCTTTATAGCTGCAGTCTTACTGTTATTCCCTATCCCCAGTACATACAACCCTGAAGATTATCTGCAGCAAAAGAAGAATGCTCATCTCATACATTGTCCCTTCTGAGCGCTGTAGTTTGACCCATCTTTATACTGACATTGGCTTCAGCTGTGAGCATTCACTGCCAAGTCCCTAGTTCCAGAGGTTTCTAACATACCAGGTAACAAAGCCCACTCTTGGATTGAGAAGAGAAACATGGTGATAGATGAGCCACAACCAGCAGTTTCTGACAATTGTGTTAAATTCCTGACAAACCTGTTCTAACAACAGTTGTTCTTTCAGAATGTTGTGGACTGAAAGGACAATACTCTTGGTTTACCGAGTTCTGACAGTAGATAAAAGCTCACGTACACTATGAGCAAAGAAGGGGATTATGCTCATGTTTTACCTGTAGTCTCTGGAGCCATAGACTGGCATTTAATAAGGAGAAATAGAGTTAAATGTGCCTTTGCAGACAGTGAAGGGAAGGTGATAATCTGACCCAGCCAGTGAAGTCCCTTGGGTAGACAAGAAGGTGGTTTCAGCAGAGGACCAGAATAAGGAGCCAGACTCCAGAGTATCTATATCAGCACCCATACACGAGAAAGTTAAACGTGTGACTCCTGGATAATACCTTCCTTTAAGATATCTGCTAGATGCTGGGTAAATGTCCATATTGATGGTTGTCTAGTGAAGAAAACTTACAGCTACTGATCAAAGCACTTTGCTCTGCCACAGTGGCAGAGTGCAGTACAATACATACCTGAAACAAGGACAAAGTCCAGGGACTGGTACTAAACTGAGCCCTGTGCCTGCTGCGAGCCACTAACCATCTGCAGAAGGCTTGGTCTGAGGGCCTTTGTTATTGTCAGTGTGATGGCTGATGGGGCTTGGAGCAACCTGCTCTAGTGGAAGGTGCCCCTGCTCGTGGCAGGGGGTTGGAGCTTTAAGATCCCTTCCAACCCAAACCAGCCTGTGGTTCTATGATGCCCTTCCTCTGCCATTTCTCTTGTCTCCAGTGATGCTGCCCACACTCTGTGCAGCACATCACAGGCCTGGATTCAGCTCATGATGTGCACAACCAGCACAGCAGCTCTCTGATGCACTGGGGCTTCGCTTGGCAAAGCCCTGAGCCACCACACAGGGGCTGTGCAGAGACCTTATGAAAGGCTGACAAATGCTACCTGCCAACCCAAAAGAAAACAGGTCACCCATGAAATTGGGAGGAATGCAGCTAGGAGCAGAGCTATTATGAAGCAAAATTGGGACCTTTTTGTGATCTACCTGTCAGAGTTGCTTCCTCAGAGGTCTCTGCAGGGGTTCAGGCATTGCTTGCTTGGCCTGGTTTTGGGGTGAAGGAGGGCGGGAAGAAAGGAGAAGGGTCTTCTCTGTATCACAGAGATCTTTCTTTTTTCTTTTCCTTTTGTTTCTCCTTGTCATTTACCTCATGCTACCTCATAGCATGGTTGTATCTCTGTAGCCACTTGCTCAGCCATGTTCACCGCTGGCACGATGGAAGACAATTCCCTACTTGGGGAAAAATCTCTCTAAGTGACCCCAGGGAAGACCGGTTCCCCTTCTGCAGCACCGTCTGGTGTCCCCACCACTGGTTTCCAGTCTACAGGCCAGGTTTTCCAGTGGGATAAAGGCGGTGTAATGAGCTCAGGGATGCTGTGGTATGTCAGGCCTCTCCCCAGCTGAGCACCAGCACGAGAGCCAGGTCTGTCAGAGCTCTGCTGTGTCTTGAGTATCTCTGCATGGAGACCAGAGCCAGCTCTAATGGGTTTGAATGTCTCCCTGATATATCCGTGACCAGGACACTTTTGCAGGACAGAATCTGTACGTAACAACCTCCTATCTTCTAATAAATAATTCTCTCTAAAACAGACTACCTCTTGTCTGGACTCTGATTTTTACCCCTGCAGGTATGCAAGAGCTCTGCACCCCACCACTGATGCACTACACCACTGCTTAGCATTTCTTGGGATATAGACCCTTCTGTATTACTATTGTCCTTCTCCTATGTCTTTCTGAATCAGAGAAGCACAACTTGAGTGGTCAAGCCAAGACCATCACAGATGGACCCTTCAATGTGCTGTAGTCTCAGCCTGGTCCATGGAGGACACAAAAAAAGTGTGATGTGTTTTAACAGCTCAGTGAATAACTACTCTAAATATTGGAGCTCAGTTTCTTACAGTTTAAGACATGACACCATGGTTTTGTCTGACTTTGGCTCTGCAAAAATGACATAAAAGAATATCAGAAAGCCTATTTTGTCACAAGGGCCTGGAGGGACAGGACAAGGGGAAATGGCTTGAACCTGCCAGAGGGGAGACTGAGATGAGCTCTGAGGCAGAAGCTCTTCCCTGTGAGGGTGCTGAGGCGCTGGCACAGGGTGCCCAGAGAAGCTCTGGCTGCCCCATCCCTGGCAGTGTTCAAGGCCAGGTTGGACACAGGGGCTTGGAGCAACCTGCTCTAGTGGAAGGTGTCCCTGCCTGTGGCAGGAGTTGGAGCTGAAGGAGCTTTAAGCTCCCTTCCAACCCAAACCAGTTTGTGATTCTATTTAAAATAAATCTATTTCTTAGGGAAAAGCCCTAATTTACCCTGAATAACACCAACTTTTTGCCTTTTTTCAGCTCTTTTTTGGGGAAGATGTTTTCAGCAACTTAAAATTCTAAATTCACAGGTTATCTATCTCCCCTGGCATGAGTGAGCAGAGCTGCGGGGCCCTGCCCTCTCCTGTCGGGCTGGCACCAAGGTTCATGCCTTTTGGAGAGCAGGGTCCTGAACCAAGCTGGGTTTGCTGGTGCCTGAAAGCTTTACTTGCTGATCAGCTTTGGTGGCAGAGCTTACCCTGCTGTGGGAACATGCCATGGCAGTTTGGGGGGCACTCAATCACGCTGCCCTTGTGCAGCTCTTCTCACAGGGAAGTTTAAATATTAAAGGAAAACCCATTTTTGAAACACTTTCTACATTAATCAGAGAAATTGAAGGAATAAATTACTCCTCCTCGTCAGGAACTGGAAGACAGTTTATAGGTCTCCTTTCAAAGATCATTCTTAATGATTTGGAAGTGAAGATTCTTAAATACCACGTATGGAAAATTACTTCCAAGCACCCGTAGGCCTTATCTTTTCCCCACATATGTTTGGCATTTCTCACTTAAGTTCAACAACTGGAGGGGCAGGATGAATGCTTTCATCTCCTCTGGGCTTCTCAGCATCACACATTGTCTGTCACTCCTTTTCTGAACTTACCTCCTTGCTGAGGACAGGGTCACGCAGGTCCACCCTCCACCAAGGGCCATCACATTTGTATATGGAGGAAGAGTTGTCCCTGTCCTGGCATTTGTAGCACAGAGAGGTGGCTGATTTGGTGAGATGCTGATCAGGGCTGATCTGAGCTGCCAGTGCCACCAGCCCTACAAACAAAACCTCTAGGAGACAAATCGGGAAGGAAAGGTCATCAGACACCCTCTAAAGGAGAATAGGGAAACACTAAAAGGTAGAAAGGAGATTACATGAGTGAGTGTTGTATTCAGAAACCCTCCAAAGAACACTTGGAGCATCCCTGGTACTGCGCGCACACGTGCTCCAGGAAGGGATAGTGGGAATGAAATGTCAGAAGGAAAATGAC